GGGGCGGGGGGCTGGGGGCCGGCCGTGGCGCCCCAAAACGCAGGGTGGGGGGGAACTTGTCCTAGTTCTGCCGGGTTTTAGCCCAAAAGCTCCTCTGCTCTGCTTTCTCTGCAAGCCATGGGGGGAGGGGGAGAAGGAGGCTTAGCGAGGGCTGGCATCCCCCCCGGTTCACTCTCACTGTACAAAGCCATAACCGAATTTGCGCCTTTCTTCCCTTAAACGTGCTTACGAAGAAGGGATTTTTCTCTGAAACGCTAAAGAAAAATATTTTTCTAATACTTTTTCCAAAATTAGTGGATGTGCTGAAATTTCTTAGAGTATCTGCTTAAATGGAGGAGCTAGGGTTTTTTTTTTATACGGATTGCAAAGCATTTTGAAAATTACTTTCCCCTTGGATTTAAGGCTTGGAGATGGCTTCCTTCTGCCCTTCAGCCTGCGCCCATCCCCCCCGATTGTTAATACCGATAGCACCACACTTCGGGGCGGGAGGGGGAAGAAACGGGGCATGAAAAGCTCGGTCTCCATATAATATCTATCGACCTCCCACCCTCTTTAAATGGTGGTTGTAAGTAAGTCATATTCCACTTTGATCGTTGTTTCAGGGTCGCTGACTTCCATTGTGATTTGCGCGTGCATGCGAGCTCTCCCGCTTTTCCTGTGCCAGCCAGACTTCTCCCCTTCTAAAAATGCCAGATACCTGGCGGCATCAGCAACATTGCCTCCGGCCTTAGATGCAAAGATCAAGTTGTTCTGGCCTGGCTTTACTCCTGCATGGGCCTGCTGTCACTCATGGTCCCTCTGCCATTGGTGTCCCTAGCAGGAAACACAAGTGTCCCGGGCATTTGGAGCCACTGCTGTGTCCAAAAGTAATCTATACTCGTGGAGTGGTGACAAAGTAAATCTGCCGGTCAGTTTTCTCAGTTATATGCAGCATAAAGGTCTATTTTGGAGAAGATCTCCCATAGGATCAAATCCTTAATTCCACTAGTTACTTGTCTTTTAGACACTAGAGGGTGACTCAGATAAAAGCTAAAAATTCCTTATGTGATTGGTTCTTTGTAAGAAAAAGAGTGTGATGCAGTTTATGTTGTGTTGTAATACTGTCCTTGTTTTTTACAGGATATAAACAAAATGAAATCAAACATAAACCACTCTTTCAAGATGAAAGGTAATTTTGATTGTACATGTCCTTGTGCTGGGTACGCACCATTGAAGTCTACTGTGGAGAAAACAAGGCTGGAAGAATCCTGCTCCTTGAATTATGAAAAAGGCCTTTCTAAAAGCTGTGCTGAAAAGCATCAGAAAGTGCTCCTTAGTGACTCATACCACGTGGCCACCAGAAATCTAGATCTTGAAGATGAAGGACAACCTGTACATAACAAAGAAAACAAACAAGTAACTGAGAGACTTGATGAAGATAGTTATGAAAAGGAGGCACTGGAAAACAGTAAATCTAATGAGGACAGTGGTTATTCCTCTATGTTAAGTAATCAATACGCTGATGTGATAGAACATGAGGATAGTACGCCTTTGGCTGGGAATCTCTGTGGCACACCAAAGCATTGTCTCATGAAGAACCAAAACCAAGCACAGTTTTCAAAGAAGACTTTGTTGCCAGTAATTCATTATGAAGAAATGGTTTGTTCAACTTTGAAAAAAAGTGGTAGAAGAAATCTCAAGTCTTGGGCTGCGATAGACAGAATTGCTTTTAGGGGAGAGGTTGAACTTTGTAACCTAATTGGAAAGAAAATGGGACTAGACAGAATAGACATTATTGGAGAGCTTTTCCAAAAGAACCTGAAGCATATATTAGCAAACATCTTAAGGCGTCTTGGTGAGATGGATTTAATAAAGTAAGTATATTGATCTCATTGTAAACAACCTAATCAGGTGGCTTAGTGTTTCTGATATGGGGCTTGTAGCATTGACAAAGACAATGGATAGTATTATGTATTCATATATTAAAACATTAACTGTCTATGTAAGCTATGGTATATATGGACAATGTGTCTTTTCCTTAGAAGGCAAATTAAAGACTACAACTGTAAACACATCCCATCTTCTAAATTAAGGATTACATAGTTTTTCCTAGTGTTAAATAAAGAGTTATTTTCTTGCCTAGGAGATCACTGATATAATTGTTTTGCCATTGCAGTTTTGCCAAAGTCAGCCCTACATGGCTGAAGATTCTCCAAGAAGATAAATGGATTTTCCAAATGTATAGTAAAGCTGTGAAAAACCTTTTGGTAAGTTTCCATACTTGTTGGCTATTCCAAGCCTAGACCATCACTTCTTTCTATTTCAGGTCTCCTCCAGGTTTAAGAGACTGCAGAATAGTTTCTTAGATTTAGATATTGTCACTGGATTGTCCTAGTTTGTCCTGTTAGGATGTCCTGTCTCAAATATTGCCAGTCACTTCACTAGCTAGTGCATAGGCTGTCCTTGGAGCCTAAGGAAGGTAGACTGAGAAGGTTACCCAAGGAGAAATACAGATGTTCTTAGGAGCTTCCACATATCCTGTGTCATAGAGGAAGGCAGGAAGGAGAGGATCAGTTCCAGCACTTGCCTGCTGGGCAAGCCCCCAAGGCTCTCAGCAGAGGCTTGCTTACTTTGGCATCCCCAGTGATCCAGAGGGGAGAGAGCCCAAGAGAAAATAGTTGGCTGTGCGACTCCAGTTCTATTCTCTGCTTATGCTTTCTAGCAACAGTCTGAAGTGTGATGTGTTTGCCACAGAAAACTAAACAGCTTTTGTATTATGAGGTACTTCTAATGCTTATTTGTTCCATGAAATAAAAAATGCAAGTTCCAACCACATTACCATGGCATCTTATCCAGACAAGACTCTTAAAACACTTGGGGTGTTTTTTTGTTTTCCTTAAGAGACAATGGAACAAGGCTTAGAATCTGCTACAGAATAAGGTACTCAACTAGTTTGAATTTTCTATAGCATTATATGGCACTAGCCTGTTGGGATGAAACAGATGAACACCACTGAACATTAATCCCAAAAAGTCTGATTTCCTCCCTGTTATCGTATGTTTTTTTAATCTGAACTGCAAGCTTAGAAAATTGGTAGGAGATGTTTGTTTCTCAAAAAGAGAAGTTAAAGCATCCCTGTTCACCATGGAGAATTAGAAATATTGCTTTGAACTTTGAAATGTTGCGGTGACTAGGTTACATTCAGTGCCTAAATGAGTAATAATGTGTTCATATAGAAGTAAGCTGCATTATATAATAGATGACTGGTTTTGATGTTCTGAGCTAGGGGTCAGTTCTGTGCATTCTTAGCAGTAGTGGCTGAGAAAGATAAGGTAAATATAACATGCTCCTTGGTATGATGTTTTATTACTGGAAATAATAAAAGCAGGTGATCCTGCTCTAGCAGGGACTTAAATGATCTTCAGAGGTCCCTTCCAACTCTGACCACTCTGTGAAACATTTGTGGCCAGGAAGACAGATGAAAAATGAGTTACTGATTCCTGTTAAACAAAAAGTCACTATTGGAAGTCTCTTCTCAAATATCCTTCTTGTTTTTCTCTTCATTAGAATGGCACTAAGGCATCAGAAGATGCTGGAACAAGGGAGTATTGTCTCTACCGGGTGGCTTTAACTTCCCTTCAGAAAGCAATCCCACCAAAGAATTTAAATAAAAAAGGTACCAGATCCAAAGCATCTAAGAATCACACCAGGCTCATGGAGTTTTCTGAGGTAACTGGTGATTTCCATTAATCTTTAATTTCTCACATGCACACTCATCTGGCACACCATCAGCTTGTAAGGAGTATTTCTGAAAGTAGTACCTCCAATCTGAAGTACTTTGCAACTCTTATTAGTATGGCTGTCAGATTTTGCTTTGAGGCTATTTAAAAACAATATAGAAATTAAGTGGAGAATGTTGATAAACTGAGATGTTTTACTTCCCCCTGACCCGGGGTATCTTTTACCCTTGGCTTAGTGTGGCTCTTTTTGCTTATATTTTGGCTTCAATCAGACATGAAAATATTTAGGTATATACTATTAGTTTTTATGGGCTTATAATTGGTCACACTATCCACACAAGCAATTCTACAAAAACTATCAATTTTTCTTCAATGCTTATGGGCTTCTTTATTTTTTTAAGATCAAAGACTAAGTAGTTCTTTTTTATAAATTAAACAAATTAATAAGTCCTGTCTATTCTGTGCTTTTTCAACTACTTGTCTTGACATTGAAATAGGTTTTTAACTACATAGTTGTGATGTGTCACACATTTGGAGTTGTCAGCAACTGCTACAGCCTAAGTTTCCCTTCACCTTGTTATTTTTCATAAGCTTGTTTTTCTGTATTTAAGTGCAGGTCTACATTGCAAGGGTCTTACAAGACTCGTAAAAAAGTTTATTGAAAGTAATTGCTAACTAGAAGAAGTTGTTGCACTCAAACTCTGAAGTCTTATTCTGCAAATTGGTGCAATGAGGAGATATAATCACACTGGGAAGTGTGATCAAGCTTCTCCAATACATTTGAAATCTGAAAGTTCAACGTACACTGAAGTCAGTTAATTTTTTTCCCTGATAAACATACATGTCTATACACACACATTTATAGATTATAAAATATTTAGATTTTAACAATTGAGTTATATAGGCGTTATAGAGGTCTACAATTTTCTAATGGTAAGTTATCTGGTTTTGTGTCAAATATTAATTGGAGAGAAGTAGGAATTGTATTCATTGGGTGTCTCAAGCAGAGTGCCTCACAGCTGAGATTTCTGAACACATTCCTTGCTTTTCAAATATGTTAATTATTTAAATGGCATTCCTAATTTTTTTTAATTGAAGTTAACTTAAGCACTGTCCTTAGATGAGGTTTGGAAGATTCTGCTTTTTCTAACTGCTTTGCATTTAATCTGTTTGACCTTGAAATTTAAAATACAAATATTTTAAAATTGACTATCTCTATTTCAGTCCAAAGTACCTGCAGTTATAGACAGATTATTCCTCTTCAATCTCCATCAGAATTTGATACAATCAGAATTAGACTAAATTTGTAAGCTATCTCTCAAGAGTAGACAAAGTTATAATATGCTTTGTAACACTTAAGAGAATATCAGGAATGTGTATTTACCTCCCACTCATTCTTTTCTTTATATGTTTTTTCCAACAGGCTGCCAAGACCTTAAAAAACTCTGAAAGCCTTAAAGTCTGTCATCGCTGTGGCTTCCCTGCAAAATATGACTCCTTTCTAGAAAGAGCAATATGCAATCGTGAAAGTTGTGGCTTTGACTTTTGCACTAAGTGCCTGTGCAACTATCACAAGTCCAGTGACTGTATGAGTGGCAAACCAGTGAAAAGCAGCTTGAAGCTAGGGCCGCTACCTGGGACTAAGAAAAGCAAGCAGAATCTACGGCGACTATAATCCCTCCATCTCAATACAGATTGTCAGATATTCCCTCACATGTTTTTTCAGTATATGAAGTTACCCATGCAGAAAACCAAACAAAAAAATGCTTTCTACATTAAAAAAGTTAACTTTGTTGTTCCCCTATACTTCTTACTCAGGTTCATATTCCGAGGAATCATCACAAATATATTTTATAAAGTCTCACTAATTTGGTAAGCCTTACTAATTTGAAAGAAAGTTTTGGATATGAATTTTAACATTTTAAATATTGTCCCAACAATCTGCCTGTTGTCTTCCAGTTATCAAAGCACCCCTGAATAATATTGAACAAAACAAAAGTTCTGGCAAGTAGCCTTCCATGTGTAACCCTAGCAATTTGTGAATGCCAGAAGGGGGAAGCATAAACTGTTTTAATTTAAATGTTTACTCTTGTTCAAAAGTCTTTTTAAAAACATTTGTAATGAGAATGTCAAGTGAGGTGGGTGAAGTCCCTTTTAACATAAAATTGAGGGTATCTAGATTTTATGGTTTTCTTGGGTTTTTTTCCAAGGCTTTGCCTTAATTTTAAAATGTGAAAGCTCATGGTGCCATTTTCTTTTATGGTTTACCTCATGGAAATCTAAAACTGTTGCTCTTCCTTCATTTCTTCATTCAGAAACTGCATGTTTTCCTTGAACTGAGCTGATACCCTTTTCAACTTAAAAAAAGAAGTACTGTAGCTTGGCTATACTGCTAAAAAGATGTCATTTTTTAGAATTTGTATATATTTATAAATATTTCTTTAAATATTATTCATGTTTGTCTTGTAAATGTGAAAATAAATTGCAATTCTCAAAAACTTGGCTGGAAAACCTGGACTTCCTATTTATCATCTTAAAACAATTCTGTCTTGTGCTCAATTTTCATGTTGTCTAGTTTATGGTTTAAAATGTTGATGATCTGGTTTTGTGTAAACTATGCTGAGTCCACTCTCATGCTGTCTTCCTGCAGCTTACCTCAAGACTCTTGGCAGTACTCGCTGATAGTTTATGAATCAATGCATTTAATGGTAAATTTTTGGTTGGCTGAATTTATGCTGCTCTTGCACAACCAGCTCACTGTCAGTAAAGCCTCTGATCCCACTACAAAGAAGGGCGAGTTTTTAAGAAAAGGGCTGATTATTTTACAGAAATGTCTGGGTTGTGTTTTTCCCATTAGTAGTTAACAGAAGGCAAAACTGCCCATCCTACTTAAACTGGGACAGCATTTGTGTACTACATGGCGACTTTTCCATTTGTGACAGCACTGGTAGCAACATTTGAACAGGAGCTTTTAGCATTCTGCTTTTATGTGCTGAACCTAATCTGTCCTGCACCTGAGATTTAAAGTAAGTGGCTGTCTTGAGTTAGAGCAAGAATTTTCATTCAATACATCTTTTGTCTGTTTAAGTCCACTTACCAATATGCTCAGGATCTGAGAATGAAAGGTAGAACTCCATCCTATTATACCTTTTTCTGACAATTAGACCATACCAACTTTAACAGCCTGTCCTGTGGGCCAGAATTGGTGTCTCTGCTATTGTTTGCAGCTTGGAAAAGGCAGTGGTTAGGTGCTTGCTATGCATGCAACCACAGCGAGTCTTAGACTGTAGGCTTAACACAGCTAAGTATTATAAGCAGAAGTCTGTTAAACGCTTTTTGTCTGTGTCCACTGAATTTCCTGTGTCCTGCAGAGCACAGATCCTTAATGTGATCTGGACAGGACTGCCATTTTGTATTTTGATTTTGAGAACTGTGGCACAGGCATCTGCGCTCAGAATGGTGCTGCAACATATGGTACAGCTTGAATTAAAATTTGTATGTCTTATTTTGGAGCTGAATGTGGTTGTTGCAAACTTGATAGGTTACCTTTTCAGGTTTTGGGCTTACTAAGGGGAACTACCCGCTCCCTAGTAGGCCCAACAATTGGTACACAGAGAGTAAAAGCCAGATGTGTTTTTTAAATTTGTTTCCTTTAGAAATTTATCTGCTGCTGAGTTTTGAGGAAAATTACATGTTACATCCAGATAAGGAGGAAGAATTGGACTACATGGTTTCGGTGGCCACAACTGCAGATGAACAATGTGAAGAAACAGATATTTTTAAATCTCTTTTGAGTGATAAGAAACTAATACTTTGTACCTCAAGCCTTGTAGGAAAAGTTAGATTAGTTTACTAGTAACAAAATTTTGGCCAAGCTGCAATGGGTCTGCTGCAGACCATTATCGCTGTTTATTTCCAACTATTTTTGTCTTATCCTCAGACCCATGCCTAACAGCTTTGGTGTTAATAATTAGAATAGACATTCAAAATTATAGCCTTCAGCAGGTGGGTGACAGCCCTCTAAGGACTGATTACCAGTGCTTGCAGTTTTCTTAAGGAAAATTTCTAAAGAGAAACAGGGGATGAGTAGCAGCCACTCAGCTATTTCTTGCGTTTTAGTAATCTTGCCCAACAGCTGAAACTGCCCAACAACATGATTGTTGGTCTCCTCACAAGTAGCTTCAGTAAACGGTGTGTGACAGGAAAATACCAAAGTGTACAATCAGTCCCCTCCCAGGCATGCTGAAGGAGACAGAGGTTCCCTACAGAATGAGGGTGCTGGACGTTAGCTCTAGCAGATACCCCAGGCAGTGCTGAGGAGAGTGAGTTACGTGCCAAAGGCAGGAGACAACACAGTTAGATGCAGATTGTTGTTAATGTCTGTGCTCAGCCTATCTTGAACCTGCCTTTGATGTGTAATCAATGTGAGAGTTGTACCTAGTGCAAGAGCACAGCATTTGAGGTATGGGGATGAGTAGTCCCCAAGTACTACAGCTCTGTTGTCAAAATAATTTTCAGACTTGACATTTGACAGCCTCAGAGACATTGTAGGAACATGATAAGCTTTTTTTACTCACATTACAAGTGCCTTTTGAATCTACAAAAGGTGATAATTATCTGCAGGCTGACAGAGTCTCCTGGCTGGCTGATGAAGCATAGATTTCTCCCAATTTGCTTATCTCTAGGCATGGCTCTGCATGGTGAGGAAGGGCGGGATGGTTTTCTGCTCTGTGAAGTGCTGTGGCTTGCAGCTGTTTCCCCTGGCCTGAACAACTATGGAACCAGAATACTCCTTAACTTCATCCTAGTCCTAGCTGGGAGGCAGGGTGAGGCTTAGAACTTTCTGAAATCAATACTGAAGCTCCACATTTTGCAGGTCTTATCTCTTGCACTTACAATGCTGTCTTGAAAAAAATAATCAAGGAGCTACTTGAAATGCTTACATCTTTCTGCAAAATATTAAAGGCAATCTCAACTGTCTTACCACAGTAACCAGAGAAACTGGGGAGGTCTCAGGTAATAATAAGCCAGGGGATCAATGCCAGCCAGCGTGGGTTTATGAAAAAGAAGTCTTGCTTGGCTGACCTGATTTCTTTCTATGACCATGTGTCCCGCCTTTTGGATGAGGGAGGGGAAGACTGTGGATGTTGTTTGTCTACCTGGACTTTGGTAAGGCCTTTGTCACTGTCTCCCACAGCATTCTCCTGGAGAAGCTGGCGAATCATGGCATGGACAAGTGTACTCTTCACTGGGTAAAAATCTGGCTGGATGGCCTGGCCTAGAGACTTGTGGTAAACAAGGTCAAATCTAGTTGGAGGCCGGTCACCTGTGGTGTCCCTCGGGGCTCAATTTTGGGGCCAGTCTTGCTCATTGGCAGTGTCCTGCATTTTGGTCACAACAACCCCAGGCAATGCTACAGGCTTGGGGAAGAGCAGCTGGAAAGCTGCCTGGCAGAAAAGGACACTGAAGTGCTGGTTGAACAACTGGATGAACATGAACCAGCAGCGTGCCCAGGTGGCCAAGAAGGCAAACAGCATCTTGGCCTGCATAAGGAATAGAGTTGCCAGCAGGAGTAAGGAAATGATCGTGTGCCTGTACTTGGCACTGGTGAGGCCGCATCTCGAGTACCGTGTGCAGCTCTGGGCCCCTCACTGTAAGAAGGACATTGAGGTGCTGGAGCAGGTCCAGAGGAAAGCAACCAAGCTGCTGAAGGGTACAGAGAACAAGTCATATGAGGAGTGGCTGAGGGAACTGGGTATGTTTAGTTTGCAGGAGGCTGAGGGGAGACCTCATTGCTGTCTACAACTACCTGAAAGGAGGTTGTAGTGAGGTGGGTGTTGGCCTTTCCTCCCAGGTAAATAATGACAAGACCAGACGAAATGGTCTGAAGTTGTGCCAAGGGAGATTTAAATCAGACATTAGGAAGAATTTCTATACTGAACAAGTGGTCAGACACTGGAACAGGCTACCCATGGCTGAGTCACCATGCTTGGAGGTATTCAAGAAATGTGTAGATGTACCACTTCAGAGCATACTCCAGTGGCCGAGGTTGTAGGGATTTTTTGTGGGTGTTTTTGGGTGGAGTGTGTGTGGTTGTTTGTGTGGGGTTTTTGTTGTTTTTTTTTTCTTTGTTTGTTTGTTTTTTTTAATGTTGGTAGTTGGACTTGGTGATCTCAGAGGTCCTTTCCAACCATGATGATTCTGTGATGATGAAGATTACTTTTGTGATATAATCACTTTTAAAAACAGGGGCAAGTTTATATACCTTTATCAGTGCAATTTATCCACCAGCAGCAGCCTTTGTGCTTTGAAGACTGTGGGACATGGAAGAACCAAAACAGAAAAAAATACCCTCTCCGACTCTGCAACTGCTGGTGCCTTAGCACTGCACACAGTCTAGCTCTTCACCTCCAAGGCTCATTTCTAATGAGCCAAAGAACTGCAGCATGTGTCAGATTTGCCATCACTAGCTGAAAGCTTTCTGGTGCAAAGAAGTGACATTTTATTATGTTTAATGTTTTGTTGGACAAAAAAGTTTAAAACTCAAATTTGCAGCTGTGATCACTCTCAAAAAAGCTCAGAATCTTTATTGGTAAATATACAAAGTCTGCCCTGACTCACAGAATTTTAAAAAAGGAATCTAGATTAAGATTATGATAAGAATTCCCTCACCAC